TGTTCCGCGATGAAAACCAGCTTTAAGCAACGGCGTAGTCGAACGGTGTAAGTAATCCTACAATTTTTTGTTTATAGCATAGTTTATACAGATTATTCCCAAAAAATTATACGTGTTTTGGAAATGTTGAGTGGAATTAGTCTAGAATCGGTTAATTTTATAGAAGAAAACCTTTCGAACAGCCTTAGTCCGTAAAGTTCCCACCTATCGGGCTGCGATTGGCTCACTCCTACAACGTAATTTTCGGTTAGCGTGGAACGTATCTAAGCGTTATAGGGGGGTCTACTGTATACATGTCATGCATATATATCATGGTATGTATAATATCAATAAACCTATACAGCCGATTGCAGAGACAATGTGTAGAGGCCGACGGCGGTTTACAGATCGGGTAGACCGCGGTTCAGAAAAATTTCATTGCAGGGACGACGTTTCTCGCTTGCCACAATGTAGACAGCGATTAGGAACAAGTTATTTGACTTACTTTCTAGGTTCACTCGACATCAGGTTTAGAGGGATTTTTAATTCGAGTGGTAGTTTTGTTGGTGGAAAAGTTTAGATAAAAATGGATATCGTTTCTTTAATAAATGTTGTATACGGTATGAATCGACAAAATTATTCATTAATTAATTGTTTGGAACAAATACTTTAAATTAGTTTTAAATGTTCCAATTTCAATTTCGATATTCAAATGAGTGAAGACTTAAAACGTCAATTAATTTAAATCAGATGCATTTATTTACAATTCGAGTATCGTGTCGGTTATAAAACGTTAATGCATTTCGGTGTCATTGTAGTTAATCTCCTAGTCAGAACGTTCTGTTAAACAAACGAGACAATTTTAATAATTACCGAAACGTAAATTTTCGTCCGATGGCAATCATTATAATTAAATATCTGAAGACAAAGTCCTTCCAGAAAATAAACCATCATTTATTATCTTCGTATTCTAGACTGTACATTCTTGGCGACTGAGATAATAAATGGTGGTTCCTTTTTTTGGAGGATTTTGTCTTCAGATATTTAATTACCGAAATCTTTTTATAGAAATAAAAAGAAATGTAATAGTAATAATAAAATACCGTATTTAAAATTATTCTTTTCGACAGTTACGAAGGGAGACAATAATACGATGTGGAAATAATTCCTTAAAAATCTATTCGGAAGACGAATTTCGAATTCGGTATAAATTTTCTAAATATGGATTTATTTGTATTTTAAACCGTATTGGCAACGAAATTAAATATCAAAATGGAAAAGGCTCGTCATTAACTGCCGAACGATGGTTGTTGACAGTCTTAAGATTTTATTTCCGGAAGCTTTCGGAACTTTTCTGACGTCACAAATGAATAACCCGATTGGCCGAACGACTCGTAAAACAGGGGAGTAATAGCCAAGAAAGTAAGAGCCAATGTTTTGCCGAAGTTCGTGTAGAGAGCGTTCAGAAATAGACGCTGGTCGTCTTTGCAACATATTTTAAACCACGATTCAGCCAGCCAACGTCTATAGGCCATTGTTGTTAAACGTCGTTTAACATAAACTCTGTCTCTGCAATCGGCTGATATAGTTTTATATATATATATATATAAACTCAATAAAATAGTTATATATATATAACTATTTTATTGAGTTTATATTCTTCAAATGATTCGCTATTAAGAATTATGCTGTACTAAAATTTGTCGCAGAAATAACTACATACCAAACTCAAAACTGCTGTCAAGTGCATACAAAATAAAACCGTTTGTAAAAAACACTTTTGATTAATAAACATTTTAAACTATGTCACAAAACTTTGATGGAGACGAAATTAAAAAGCTTTCGATGGTTTGTGTACTTAAATTACATGTAATAGCTAAAGCTATTTTAAACTTTTTTACAGTATAAAAATATCAGTTTAATGAATATTTTTAAACAATTATACACGTATTCTATAACTTTAAATTATTTTATGTAACTTTCACTAATTTTATTAAAATTAACACAAATCAGAGTTCAATTAGCAACTGTTGCTAGTGGTAATCAATGGTAAAAATTGGACTTCTATATCGCCATGACATTACTCGACTATGCTTAACCATTTTGCCAACGTCTATGAATGCAGAGTGATTTACACTATGCTTTCGATATTGAAATTAAATTCGAAAAAGACATAGCATCGAATAACTGTGTAAATTAATTAGACGTACAGTAATAAAAAATTAAGTTACATTATATATAAGCAGTATTAAAACCACATAATATCAATAAAACAATAGATTTCTGTTATAATATACCAAATTACATTAAGTATAATACTTTCCGCATAAATAAATTATATTCAAACCATAAGTAGAAAAACAGATTCTGCTTTTAAATGTCTCTCCTTACAAGTTATTAAGAAAATGGCACGGAAGAACATTTAATATTAATATGGAAAATATAAATTTAAAATGTAACGAGTGAAATCAGCAGATCATCATAATGTAAAATAAAGAAAAATTTGGCTACAATAAGATGAAAAAGCAAAATATTGCAGTTCGTTTACACACAGTAATGCATAATTTTAAGAATGATAAAAAAAAATCTATTAAAATAAATAAAAGTATGTTTTAAAGAAAAATTTTATAATATATTTATATTGTGACCAGAATGTCAGCACCTCTTTAGTGCATTGTCAGGACTGACACCACTGTGTTTTCTAGAACAGACACAAAAACCGCAAATTTGAAATTGGCGCGAGCGATCATGTGCGCGGGCGATCAGATTCGGGATGGAGGAGGATTGAGAGACAGCGGATCGAAAGAAGTGCACACAACTACTTAACTTGAACGAAAAATACCCGTTTATTTATAAAAATCTTTACACAAATACATAAAGTAACCGAGAATTCTCTTTAACTTTTACTTAGCGAGTTAAAGTATCTATAGCTATATAGCGTTATCTGAGGTTAACGGATTTCTGAGCCAGAGAGAGAGTTTACATTTATTTTTCGCGCGGCGATAAATACCTTGTTCCGTCGATTCTTGAACTTCGTCGGACGGTCGTGGATCGGGTGCACCCGGGTAGAAAAGTTCAAGTTCTTGGGAAAAGTTCAAGCTTTTAGATTGAGAAATCCGAATAGGGTTCCTGGAGGGAGAACCTCGATTGTCCAAACAAAACGGTGCGACAGTCGGGGGGAACGACGGCAGCGGACGGGATCGGCGATTGGGAAGCACACTCGAATATCCTTTCTCAAGGAGGGCGATTGGAGAACTCTCGGACTCTCTCCTTGTCCCTGAGTCATACTGATTACTGTCAGCATGCTATTTCAGTATTATTTGTGCGGACATACTCTTCTTCTTAAACCTCATTTTGTTCTTATTATTATTACACCAATTTATGCATTCTAATTCTAATTCTGCTATCAGTATTCTTTATTTTCGGAATCCGCTACCCACAAGGACTACAAAGGTATGTTTTTGGCATATATACCTTGAAACTGTCATGAAACTGTTTATTCTAATACATTTGGATTGTATAATATTACTTCTTTATATCTACATATGTTTATAGACTGATTATCTGTTAGTATGTTAATTGCGTTTACATTTTATTTATGCCATTCGTGGAAATATTTATCCTAATAGCTTCTAAACCGTACACTCCTTATGTACTTGTATTCCATATGTATATATCGGCGTGCTGATTCATTATAAGCCTATTATTTAAAGTTATCTATGTATTTATGTTACTTGATTTATGAAATTGTAATATTAGCTTATATTTAAGGAGTTGATACAATCCAATTTTTGTACTTCATTTTTCAATTATTCTTATTATGTTATCTATCCTGACACTGATTCGTATATATGAATTGTATATGATGAAATCCCTCTCAAATTCATTATTCCGTTATTTTATGTATGTACTTTGAACTTTATCCATGTAAACATTTCCCTGGTAATGCTTTCTGCGAGACCAGGATGTACTGTACCTGTTGTTTGTGCAATGAGACTATGAATGAATGAATGAATGTCCCTGAGTCACCCTTTTTTATACATCCAAATCACGTTATTTTTTTCACCAATCGGGAATTTTTTATATTAGTTTCTAGTGATACATTCGCTGAGCTCCCTGAGAAAGGAAACGACTCCGGAGAGAGATGTGATCATTTTCCGGTAATAAAATAGAATTTTTTTTAAGACGAAAAACGAATTTCTATTAAAATTCGTCAGGTCCGGTCCCTCACAATATAAATAGAGAAAAAAAGAGAATAAATAATCGATGTCTGTAGATGTATTAAGCAATAAATCTTGAAAATTAATGATCTGGTATATAACATAAGTTATGTTAGTCGTTATGATAATGTTAATTATCCATTCTCTCAAGCTTCTTGCTGAGTTGTATTGTACTTGCTTCGATAAATTTTACAATATTTTAAAATGCAATTTAACTTATATTATTTTGTGGTTTTTTTTAAAATAAAATGTTAAATGTTTATTTCATTTAAATCAGTCTTTTGTCTTTTTATTTATTTCTACAAACAATTTTCAAATGTATACTTTTTAATAACATTAAATTGTCATTAGACATAACACATTCAACAAGAACAATTTAATTTTTCAACGAATAAACAAGTAAAAATTGTTAATTCGTCCGCACAGCATGACGACAAAATATGCTTACATCATTAGAGTGTACGTATTATAAACGTCATTTTAGTCGTAAAATAATATTTACGCCTATTTATACATCATATCTTTATTCCCTTATCGAATATCAATTGTTTAGTTTGGAAAGAATACGGCTGTTATACAAAATTGCAGGCCTTTATTCCAACCTAACCCATGAAAACGGGTAAGTACAAATGATATTATATTTGTAGATGAGATAAACTATTTTTAGTGGTAACTTTAGAAAAAAATCAATTGTCGTTTTATTACTTTAAAGAAGTTTAATATATTTTTAAGGAAAATATGTGATTTCTATTAGTTTTTACACAAGAATCGCCTTATAGTCAATGAGGAGAGCTCCAAATGTTCGAAACCCGTACAGGTTTAGTGGTGTAGGAAAATAGTTTTAGTGGATAACAAAAAATATTTGAATGGAGGTAGTTTCTGAACCTTACTTAATATCGGAGTCGATATATATATATTAGTCGAGACGAGCCAACAACGAGTAAGAGATTTTTTTTCCATTGTCGGGTTTTGAGTGGATGTAGCCTACTGTACAAATTTAAGGCACTTTTGTTTCTACTTTAATTTTAAAAGCCGAAAGCGGGAAAATTTGCTGATAGAAAAATGTTGATGGGATGTCCCCTCTTTCTCATATGAATCGACACTTATGTGTATCTAAACTGTCCTGGTCAAAATTATTTTAAGTTATTTTGGCTCTTCTATCATCTAGGTATGAAAATGTATATGTAAAAATGTAATTTCGTAAAATAATTCTATATGAATTAATATAGATAGACTTATCTATAAATAATTTGTACTGTTTAATTTTAGCATGTCTTTAGTTTTTACCTTCCTCTCGTTATTATATATTACTTTCTAAAAAATTGCGTGAGAGTGGAACTACAACAAAGATACTATTTATACAGTTTAAAGACGACCGGATAAAGAAGGCGATTTAGGTGTCCGCCTCTTACTCTAGACATGAAATCCGACCGGTCGAAACATTTTCGACTATATATCCTGATTTGTCGGGCCACATTCTCCGTCACCCGGTCGCCCTATTGTGGACCCAGCCGAACCTGCGATGAGCATCAAAAACAAGACTCGCTTATTGTCAACAGGGAAAAGAATTAAAAACGATAATAATAAAAATACAGCAACAGGTTGCTTAAGTTTCCCGGCAACATTTGATGGCGCCATCCGTTATGATAGTTAAAAATATAAAATGTTTTTTAATAAAATATTATAAAATTTTAAAACGCTTAATTTTAAGGGTAGAAATTGGTTTTATTAAAAAAAATTTAAGTGCTAATAACGAGTAAAATCGTCATTAAGTCCGATCCTATTAGAGATACATACGACTCTTTCATCTCTCCACTCCCTCGACCTTTAATCACCAAAATTTAATACCATCGATCCCCGAATACATAAACCTCCCTATAAAATTTCAGAAATTTTTGACAAAGAGCACAGGAATTATTAAGCTTCAAACAGGGTGAACAAAATCGTGTCCTCCGCGCACACTAACATCCATATATACAGAAAAAAATCCCCGAAATTTTTTGCATTTTTCGGCGTTTCTAGGTTTTCTGAGTCAACCGAAAAGATAATGGCAATTACAGTTTGAGAACTGTTCTATGTCTAAAATAAATTTAAGTAATAAATTGTTTTTATAAAACGTAGTAAATTTTGAAGTCATTACCGAATTTATATTGTAGAACATCCTGTCGTTATAATATTTAAAAGTATTATGTAAGTACGTTGTTATTATATTATATTGTTATGCAAATGGTCAAATGACAAATATAATACATAATATTTTTTATAACAATTTAAAACAATAAAAATAGTCTACGATAATTTTCCCAATTAAATACAGTCGACCCTGTATAACAGTGTTGATAATTTCGTTTTATATGAATTCCATGTTGTACGAGTCACTTAGATTTTACAAATATGTGAGCCGTTCACAGCCCGGCACAGGTATTTGAAAAATCTAAGTAACTCGTACAACATGGAATTCATATAAAACGAAATTATCAACAGTGTTATAGGGAGGTCGACTGTATATGCAAATTGTTATTGAATATACTTTAATATAGGTAATTAATGCTAAATATATGTAAAGGTATATTTATTGATGACGAATATGCTACTTAGTATAATAATGCTGTTAATGTATTCGGAATGTATTGCTTACTATCAAACACTGTATATCAATTTAAGTTTAACGGATAAATATGTTTAATACTTGGAAGTATAAGGCGTCAACTTAAAATATGTGTTGAATATAGTTGTACGTTCTGGAAATAATTAATGAGTAAATTGTTGATATTTTTTCTTTAAGTCCATTAACTATAGACCTGATATATGTTGTTACGCGTATAATTGACAATATATTTGATGAAAGCATATTTTTGTTGATACTTGTTGGTAATATAAATTGTATTGTAGCATTATTAATTTATGTAATATGTAACATTGTGAACTTCTGTACTTCCAAATTAATTTTAATAATTACTAGATAATAATTAATACTTAACTACTGAATAATAATTTATAATTGTTAATAATACAAATTATAATAACCCTGAATTAATGTCATAATAAGTTAAATGTGATGTAATATTGTTGTTTATATTGATTTTGTTACTTACACCTGGTAGTGCTGCAGCGGAACCAGGTTATGTGTACTAAACATGTTAATAAATAATGATGATGATGATGATGATGATGCTGCTAATGCTTGTTTTCGTCGCGGAGCGTCCTTCCGCAACGAAAACACGCATTAGCAATGGCGGTGCACACTCGGTAAGTAATCGTACAATTTTTTGTTTATAGCATAGTTTATACGGATTATTACCAAAAAATTATACATATTTTGGAAATGTTGAGTC